GGGCATTTACTTGAATGAAGTCTTACAGTTTTTATCCTCCCAAAGTCCCACAAACAAACCAATGTTTGTTTTGATATAAAAATTATTGCCCCCAATTTTCAAATTAAAAATTATCTTTAGAAGGTCCTTCAACTTCAGTTTTCCAGGAACACTGCTTTGTACCATTTAGATCCTAGAGCATAATACATTCCAAATGGGTAAGGATGCATGTATTCAGTGTCACCCCAAGACTTATATGAAAAATTAAATCAGCGCTATTTAGAGATGTATGTTTTCACAATGCCCAATGTTTGACTTATTATTTTTGCCATAATATGGTTAGAATTCTCTGAACATTCTGGATCGGGTTTCAAAGGTTACATCTAGATAGCCTCTTTGTTGCAATGGCAAAGTTCTTATATGCTAAAGTGAGCTCTGTTTCCATATATGACCTAACTCACAGTTTTGCCTCATCACCAGGTTGGAAGGTAAATGAGTGTAAAGCGTTTTCATAAAGAAATTAAGATGGGTGATATACCAGCATTATGATGCTTAGGGTTCTATTTTGTTTAGTGAAGTACTCTGGGTGGTGCAATATTTTCCAATGATTGTCTTCCCTTTTACTCTAAGCTTTGTAAGGAAATGAAAGTTAAGTAGTCACTGAAACACATTTGACTTGAAATTAGGTACATTTTTGCTAAAAGGGGACTTCCTGACCCTAAGATGGTTAGAGAGAACATGATAGAAAACACCACTGAGACCTCTCTCTCATCTCTAGAGTCCCAGTGAACTGAGTAGTTCATTGAGTATGAATTTGCTTTAATTTCAAGATACTGTTCTGGTGTTTTAATTAGAATTTTAGCAAACAGGATGCAGGCATTTCAAACCCTAGACACCTAATGAAAATTCTTGGGACAATGCCCAAGACAGCAGGTCCTAGCTCACAGAGGACTCTCTCCTTCATTACCATTCTGTCGCTCAAGAAGGATAAATTAAACCCCTCTCCCTCTGCCTCTCCCTCTGCCTCTCCCTCTCCCTCTCCCTCTCCCTCTCCCTCTGCCTCTGCCTCTCCCTCTGCCCTGAAACAACACAGCCTTTAGACAAATACTTTCCCCTCTATCATTAGGGGTCAAGGAGACAAAGAACAGAGGTTCTTTCTGCTACATTGGCAGGGAGCCCTTACTGGATAAGTCACAGTCTAGGTTATGGCAGTGTCCTGAGTCTAAAAACACTGTAACCTAACATTTTTATTCTTAGCTCTATCTTAGCTGTATTTTCCCCACAATGACCACCCAGAGTTCTTCCTAAGGCTAAACTTCAGTCAATCACTCAACAAAGCAACTTAACAGATGAAGAGTAAGGCAGTACAATATAACCTAGGGTTAATCAGAAATGCTGTGTAACCAAATTGATCAAACCATGGCTTTTCTGTGTTACGGTTCTGGAATTCCAAGACCACCTTCTTTTTCTTTCTTTATTCCTATTTATTTATTTATTTATTTATTTATTTATTTATTTATTTGGAAATAAACATAAAGACAGTTTATTGACAAAGGGGATGTTTTTTTGTTTTGGTTTTTGGTTTTTTGAGACAGGGTTTCTCTGTATTGTTTGGGAGTCTGTCCAGGAACTTGCTCTATACAGAGATCCACCTGCCTCTATGCCTCCTGAGTGCTGGGATTAAAGGCATGCTCCACCAATGCCCAGCTGGGAATGTATTCTTGAGAATGGGAGTGGGTTAGTGAAATGAGGGGAAAGCATGTGCTCAAGTGCTGGGCCATGCCTCATTTCATTTACATGTCATTAACATGGTGCCTGCCTCTCCCACCTTTGTATGCCACTAACTTTATTTCTTTTCTTTTCTTTTCTTTTTTTCTTTTTTTTTTTTTTTTTTTTTTTTTTTTTTTTCCTGAGAAAAGGCACTTTATTTCAGTATGGTGGGAAGGAGGCACTCACAGCAACTCTAAAATCCTGTCAATCTTCATTGCCTAAGAGGTGTGAACCCTTGGCAGGCCACACTGGTCTCACTGAAGGGAACTAGCTGAAGTTGGTGTGCAGAGGAGGAGGCTGCACACACTCAGGCCTTCCCACTCTTTCCCTGGGACACACGGGTCTCTGGGGGTGCCCTTCGGAACCACTCCGACTACGAACCATCATAAACAGCCACATCAGGCTTGCCACAGAGGTAGGCAGCCAGGGCAATATGGCAGGCAGTGACCCCCTTGCGGCATGTGGCAATGAGGGGCTGTGAGAGGTCCACCTTTTTGTCCTGGAATATGGCACACAGCTCCTCTGGGCTCTTCTCAAAGCCATCTTCAGTTAGGAAGTTCATGAAGGGTGTGAATGATTGAACCACGGATGTGGCCTGAGTCCAGTCCTACGATATCCGGCTCTGGCTCTGTGCCCAGGTACCGTCCTTGGGCACGGGAGTCCACCAGCTGGAACCTTTTAGACTGGAGGTTCTCCAGGACCTGCTCATAGGACTTGAGCAAGGAGCGGTCCAGTGTGGCTTTGAACACGGCTGGCTCTGGACGTGAGGGCTCAGATGTCACCGGGTGGCCTTCCTTCAGCCAGTTCTGGAAGCCACCATTAAGTACTGACACAGTGCGGTGACCAAACACACGGAACATCCACCATACTCGGGGTGCATAGAAACTGCCCAAGTCGTCTCCGTCGTACACCACCACGTGTGCGTCGTTGCTGATTCCCAGACTGCCCACGTAGTCCCCAAAGTGGGCCTCACTGGGCAGCATCATCTCATAAGGTGAAGCCGTGTCCCGGCATTCCTCTATATCAAAGAAGGACGCACCAGGCACGTGGCGCTCCTCGTACTCTTTGCGGGCCTGGCGGGTTCCCGGAGAGTACCAAGACGCGTCCAACACCCTAAGGCCGGGCCCCAGGCTGCCAGACCGAATCGATTCCGCGAGCCACTTGGTGGAGACTAGCGCCTGGTAGAGCACTTGATGGACCATAGTGTTAGCTATGTGTGTCACCTGGTGCCCTTATTTCTTAATTTAGAGTTAAATTCAGTAATGAAGGTCAACCACATAACAGATGAGCACAGCATGACAAAGGGGGACTAGGAGGTCAAGAGAAAGAGCAAGGAAATCCAGAGTGTCAAGGAAAGCATGCATAGGAAAGAGACAGAAAGAAGAAAGGGAAAGCTATGCTTTTCTGAGTCCCTGATTTCCTTAATCTCCTGTGTGTGTGTTCACCTGTGATTGGCTTGGTGTTGATTGTACGGGCCTACTAAGTACTGTTTTGGATTAAGCAAATTCTTAATAAAGCATGTTTTATCATGCCCATTTGTCGTAAGAAAGCGCTCCTGACCTCAAAACCCAGCCCCAATTTGGGAAAACCAAAAAATATAATTAGGAGTTGGATGGCGGTGCCCATGCCTTTAATGCCAAGTGCTCTTGGGAGGCAGAGGTGGATCTCTGAGTTTGAGGCCAGCCTGATCTACAGAGTAAGTTCTGGAACAGCTGGGGCTACACAGAGAAACCTTGCCTTGAAATATACAGAGAGAGAGAGAGAGAGAGAGAGAGAGAGAGAGAGTGTTAAGTATATTGTATGTCATATATATGTAATTGGGTACAGGACATAATGATAAAGAAGAGGCAATGTAATGTCACTTAAATCATAATGTCATGAATAATTTCAGAAGGGGAAATTTGAACTACAGTACCCTATGATGGTTACATGGAAGAACAGATCCTAGAATTTGAAAAGTGGATGGGCTTTACACTAAGCAGAAAAGAGATTGACAGTGGAAGTGTATGAAGTTGGAAGCAAGACCCAGATTAGAGTAAACCACATGGTACAAACATGACTATTTCAGTGTCAACGTGGAGTTGGACTAGAACAGTAAGGTCCAAGAAAGACTCAAATAATTGGCAGATGTATATGAAGGTTGGCATTTAAGCATTAAAAAGGTAGTCACATTTGCAGGAAAATTAATAGAACTACAAATCATCCTGTTAAGAAAAACAAGGCATTGGGGCAGGAGAGATGGCTCAGAGGTTATGAGTGCACTGGCTGCTCTTCCAGAGGTCCTGAATTCAATTCCCAGTAACCACATGGTGGCTCACAACCATCTATAATGGTGCCCTCTTCTGGTCTGCAAGCAGACATGCAGGCAGAACACTGTGTGCATAATAATTTTTACAAAAGAAGAAAGTTCTCCCTTTGGCTATGGATCATGCCATGGGAACAGAGCCCCAAGAACAATGCCTTTTGGCTGTTAATAAATTAAACAAAAGAAAAACAAGGCAGACTCAAGGCCAGTGATTCAACTTTATTAGTAGAGTTCTTGCCTAGCAGATATAAAACACTAGCACTGCATAAAACTGGGCAGGCATGGTGGTCCACACCTGTAATCCCAGCATTCAGGAGGTGGAGGCAGAAAGACAGAAGTACAAGACCAGGTTCAGATTCATAGTGAGTTTGAGGCCAGCCCAGGATACAGGACACCCTTTCTCAACAACAACAGCAAAAGCAAAATGAAACAATAAAGACTCTAGGTTTTGGAAAAACACAAGAGATATATGGCATAGTATCATAAAATACCAATAGCATGATTCTCTCTATGATGCACACTTGCCAATACAGTTCTAACTTTTTTATCTTAAGTTTCCTAGACTAAATCAATATCCTCCTTCTCTATCTTGCAGCTTTGAACTTTAAATTGGTCTTACTCATTGATTTGTTCGGCACATACTTTGGGAAACTCCTCTACATCAGAAACTGTGGTAGATACTGCATTCAGATGTCATCAAAGCTCCCATCACTGGGAAGTTCTCAGTCTTTTGTACTTGGAGAGAAAGGATAGAAAGACAAGGAGATGGCAAATGTATAGGTCATTTGTTCTGTGGACTTCAGTAAAATAAATTATGCATCTTGTTGGTAAGGTACCTTGGAAGGTGCTCTACCAGTGAATGGAGGCATTAGGAAGATATCATATTCAATAAGAGATGCTTTGAGACTCCTGTCATTTTTCTTTGAGGTAGGTCTTGTACACTCCCATGGAAACAATAAATAAAACGGCCAGGATCCAATTCTTCTTCCGTCCATTCTCACCTGACCCTGGGGTGCAAATAGTGATTTTTGTGGCCTTCTTAGTGATGTACCTGACCAGCCTCAGTGGAAATGCCACAATCGCTGTGATTGTCCATTTAAACCACTCACTCCACACCCCCATGTACTTTTTCCTAGCTAACTTGGCAGTTCTGGAAATCTTCTATACATCATCCATTGCACCATTGGCCTTGGTAAATCTTCTCTCTATGGGTAAAACACCTATCTCCATCACTGGTTGTGGCACCCAGATGTTCTTCTTTGTCTTCTTGGGTGGAGCTGACTGTGTCCTACTTGCCGTCATGGCTTACGACCGGTTTGTTGCAATCTGCTATCCTCTGAGATACACACTCATCATGAGCTGGCCCTTGTGTATGGAGATGATGGTGGGATCCCTGGTGCTGGGATTCCTGCTGTCATTGCCACTAACTATTTTAATCTTCCATCTCCCATTCTGCCATAACAATGAGATCTACCACTTCTACTGTGACATGCCTGCAGTCATGCGCCTGGCGTGTGCAGACACACATGTTCACAGGACTGCCCTATATATCATCAGCTTCATCGTCCTAAGCATCCCCCTATCTCTGATCTCTGTCTCCTATGTCTTCATCATCACAGCCATTTTACGGATCCGGTCTGCTGAAGGGCGCCACCGTGCCTTCTCTACCTGCTCTTCTCACATCATAGTGGTCCTTCTTCAGTATGGCTGTACCAGTTTTATATATTTGTCCCCCAGGTCCAGCTACTCTCCTGAGATGGGCCGAATGGTGTCTGTGGTCTACACTTTTATCACACCCATTTTAAACCCTTTGATCTACAGTATGAGGAACAAGGAACTGAAAGATGCTCTGAGGAAGGCACTGAGAAAGTTCTAGGTAGGATGATCTTGTGGTTTGTTTGTTTAGATCAAGGCCCTTCTGAAAGTGAAATGGGATATTACTGATTATGAAGGTTCCAGGCATATGATTCTGGTACTCAGGAGGCAGAAGGATTGCAGTTTGGAAGCCAGCCTAAGCTACATAGGAAAATCCTGTCTAGATAACTAATTATAATAAAATAATGGTGGGATGTCATACATAGATCAGATATGCCCTGGGCAGGAATGGAGAGAGGCAGAGTTGGGCAGCTGTTACATACCTATTTGAATGGATTAACTCATGTACCTCATACTAAGCATCATCATTGTAATTATTCAGAGAAAAAAAATTGTAAGTTTCTAAAAACTGATATAACCAAGATGAGAACATAGTATCTAAAAATCTAAAGGCTACACTCTGTCTGTATGATGCTCTTATAATTCTGGGCTTGCTTTGCCAATAGGACCATATGTAACAGTAGACAAGTCTCCCTATCTCTGTGGGCTCCTGTTTCCTTATTGTACAACCAGGTTCTGAACAGAAAAAAAAATAACAATAAAAATGTTTAAAGCTTTATAGTTGGTGACATGTAGGAGAATTTTTCTTTTATATTTTGTTGTTGTTAATCCAAGTGAAAATCACCACAGAGCTCAGAATAAGGAGTAGCAATAAAGAGGAAAGTTGTTTAATTTAATAAGTGAAAATAATGGAAATTGTGAAAGTGGGCATCTCCGAATCTTATAACTTCTGAAATATCTTCTTGGAGCCTGAGAGATAACTCAGTGGATAGGAACACCTATTGCTCTTACAGAGGACCTGGGTTCCCTTCCCAGCACTGACATTGTTACTCATAGCCATCCCTAACTCTGGTTCTAGGAAATATGATGCCCTCTTCTGACCTCCTCAAGCACTGAACACATGTGGTACACATACACATGCATGCAGGCAAAACACTCATACACATAAAATAAGTCGAAAAGAATTTCTCCTTCTGGGCAGTCATCAGGATCTGCTCTGAGCCTCAGTAGGAGTGATCACAGTTCTGTAAGATGGGCCATCCCTTACCAGACTGCCCAAGTTGTTAAACTTCATCTCAAGCTGAAGTCTATTTACAACTCACATCCTTCTGCTGGCCGTTTTGTTTCTTCTCTGTAGCGGTCACTTCTATCTGACAATTCTTTAAGCATATTGTAACAGATTTTGTGTTTTATTTTAAACCATAAACAAAAATCAACTCAAAGTTTGGGAGTGTAGCTTAGTTGGAAGAATCCCTTCCTGGCATGCATGATCCCAGCACTAAATAAAACTGTATGGTCCGTGCCTGTAATTCCAGTTCTTGAGAAGTGGAGTTGGGAGAATCTTGACAGCAAGCGCATCCTCTGTTACACAGAGTTCACAACCAACCTGAGTCAGACCCTGTCTCAACACTCCCAGGAAAGAACAAAAAAGAAAATTAACTCAAGGAGGAAGAGAGTAGGGAGTTAAGAGAGGGCTGGAAAAATGCACTTGCTATTCTTCAAGAGGACCACAGTTCAGTTCTCAGCAACCATGTTAAGTGGTTTACAACAAGCTTTACCTCCAGCTGAAAGGGATCCAATGTTTTCTTCTAGTGTCTGTGGGCACCTCCACACATATGTGTACACACATGTCTATACACACAAATGCACAGAAGTAATAAAAAAAGGATTTAAGACTTAAACATAAGATCCAAAATGATAAAATACCTACAAAGAAACATTAAAAAAAATATTCCTAATCTTAGTGTGGGCAATAGACTCATGGAATGACACCAAATACCTGAACCACAAATCAAAAATAGGTGAGGCAGCTTCAACCTAAAAGTCTTATGCATAACAAAAGAAACAACAGAGTAAAAACATAGGCTCAAAATCAGGTACTATATTTGAAAATTATACATCGAAACAGGAGAAATCTCCAAAACATTATGGAACTCACAGAACTCAATACTGAACATCTGAAAAACTAGTAATTTGATCTAAAAGTTAACTATGAACCTGAATAAACATTTCTCTCAGAAGACTTACAAATAGCCAATAAGTATATAAGGTGTTCAGTGAAAATAAATCATCAAAGACTTTGTAAATCAAAACCACAATATAGGACCACAACCATATTAAGATAGTTACCATTAAAAACAAAAGATACTAAATAAGTAAATAAACAAACAAACAAATAAAATAAAAGATAGGGCTGGAGAAATGGCTTGGCAATTAAAAACATTGGCTGGTCTTCCAGAGGACTCTGGTTCACTTCCTTCCCTGCACACACATGGTGGCTCACAACCTTTTGTTAATTCTGTTCCAGGGGACCCAACACTTTCTTTTGACTGCCTCAGGAACATCACACACATGGCACACGTATATACGTAGATGGAGACAAAATACAAAGTAATATAAAATATATAAACATATTTGTATTAAAAACTAGAGACAGTATTCTTGTCAAAGATGCAAAGAGGTATAAAAACTTATCACAATGTTAGAAAAGCAAAATGGACTCTGAACCATCCACCACCCAGAGTCTGCCTTTCCCTCATTCTTGGCCCTGCTGGGCCCACTGTTTGGGGTGAGTGTTTAGCCAGAGCGCAGGTCCAACACCCCTACCATCTCCTTGGATCCACCCTGAGCATACTGGACCTGCTGCTCCACACAGGATCATCTGAAGCCAACCCTCACCTGACCTTTGGGCTCCTTCACCTGCCTTCTTCCTGAGTGCTTAAGACCATCCTGAGCTTGCCATCCCCACATCATTGGCCCTGCTGTGGCCTTTGCTTGAGAGACCTCCCATACCTAAACACTGAGTCAAACTAGAATCCAGATGCAGAGAGAGAGGACAAGACCAGGCTGCAGAAACACACACATAGAGACAGCTGACCTGAACAAGGAAGGAGGAGCTAACAGGCCCCCCAGACTGATAGCTGGGAATCCAGCATGGGACTGACTCAGAACCCCTGAATAAGGGTCTCAGCCAGAAGGCCTGAGCAATCTAAGGGACCTCAGACAGTGGAACCAGGATGTATCCCTAGTGCACAAAAGGACCTTGCAGACACATCCCCCATGGAGGGATAACTGCCTTAACCTAGAGACAGGAGAGAAGTCCTAGTCCCTACTTCAAATGACTTGACAGATCTACATGACCCCACCTGGATAGCATAGCCCTACCTGTGGAATGGGGGTGGGGGGATGGTAGGGGAGGGTGGTCAGGGTGCATGTGAGGAGAGAGAGTGTGGGAAGCAACAGCCCCAAGGTGGTGCCTGGCTGGATGCCAGGTAGTCCAAGCTTAGCCATAAACAAGCCTTATTTGGAAGTTCTTGCTGGTGTGCTTCCTCCTTCTGTGGCCTATCCGGGATCGCCAGGTGGCATGAGCTGATTGGGCAGTGAGCACATATTTAAGGGCTTGCTGGGGCTGGGAGGAGCAGAAGCTGATGTTCAAGGTTCCTGAATAAACTGCTAGAAGAAGAGTTATGGTTGTGTTTCCTTGCTGGCCGAGGTAGACGCGAACAACGAGAGGGTAAGAGGAAGGGAGGGAGGAGGAACTGGGATCAACATGTAAAATAAAATAAATAAATAGTGTCCAAGAAGTGGATTTGGGGTTACTCTCTTACCCTGAGTAGGAGGCCATCACTGGCCAGCATCTAATCAAGCTTGCTTCAAATCTGGCTCAAAATTGTGATAGTGATCTTATTCTTCCCCAGTGGAATTAACACTTCTCTCAGCTGTTTCTCACTTCCCCACTACACTGTAATAAAAAGCATTTCATCCCCCTTCCCATACCATAACCAGGTTTTACAGAAAGCAGCTATTGATAGCTCACAGTCCATTTCAGTCTTATCTCACCTGCATGGCACTAGCATCTCCCAGGCATACCAAAGCAAAAGCTCAATGGTTCTTAAGGGCTGCCTGACTCCATATTAAGTTGCTTTAGTCATCACAGGGACCTATGTAAACTATTACTCATATCTGAGCACTCTTGTAACAAAAATAAATAAAAGACCCAGAGACTGATACTGGGGTTCAAACTTCAAGCTGAGTATCATAAAAGCAAAGCAGATAGCCACTAACTTCTTTTTTCCAAGGGTGGGGGATTCGAGACAGGGTTTCTCTGAATTGCTTTGGAGCCTGTCTGGAACTAGCTCTGTGACCAGGCTGGCCTCGAACTCAGAGAGATCTGCCTGCCTCTTGTATCCCAAGTGCTGGGATTAAAGGCTTATGCCACCAATGCCCCAGCTGCCTCTACCTTCTTATCTGAATCAAGCTGAATGGTCTGATCCTGCCTCCAAGAGCTCTCATCAAGCTTCAGACTATAACCTCCCCTCAGCATGGCTGGAGACTGAACAACTCTTATTGAGATCTTGCTCTTGTTTTATATACTTCCCTAATGCTGGGATTAAAAGTGTGAGCTATAATTCTCTTTTAAACGGATTCATTCTCGTGTATATCTGGGTGGCCTTGGATTTACAGAAATTTACCTTTTAATCCTGAGTCCTAGGATTAAAGGTGTGTACCACCACCTCCTAGCTTCTGGCCTCTGGGATTAAAGGTGTGTATCACCACTACCTGATCTCCATAGTTTGAGGCTGCTTTCTGAATCTTCAGTCAAGCTTTAATAAATCATAATATATAACTATACACTCTAATGACTGGGATAAAGTAATTCATTTTGGACAGGCAAAAACCACAGTGCCATCAGGTTAAGGCTAGCTGTCACATCCTCACATGCCTGTAAACCAGGTACATGCTCCATGCTCTGGAAGGTCAGAAAAGGGCATCAAATCCCCTGGAATTGAAGTTACAGTTGTGACCCACCTTGTGGGTACTGGAATTTGAACCCAAGTCCCTGGAAGACTACCTAGTGCTCTTAAATTCTGACCATCTCTCCAGACACCAAATATTTTTGAGACAGGGTCTTATTATAGCTTTAGTTGGCCCCAAACACACTGGCCTTCGATACCTGAATTCAGAGATTAAAGGTGTGTGCAACTTGTTTTACAAGTTTTT